AAAAAAAAAAAATAAATAAATTATAAATCTACTAATTAATTACTATTTAAATTCCAAGAAGTCATTGGTTCGTCAGTGGGAGAAGTTGTTGTTGGAGGCAAAAAATTCATCGGATTCATCGTGTTCATCGTATTCATTGTGTAGTTACTATCCATATAATAAGGATTGTATGAATCATAAAAGGAGAATTCTGAAGCGGCACTGGTTGTTACAATTGGTGCTGGGTGTTGTGAGACGTTATTTGATGAATTATTATAACATTTTGATTCAGGATGAACTTGTTGTCCATTAGTTGGTGGTGTGGTAGGTCCCCCACTTGTTGTATCATCGTTATATTCAAAGCCACCTGAGTCGGAACCCCCTTCGTCATCCCCTGATTGTAAATTAAGAGATGTATTCATATCACTATATTGTGGAATCATCATTGAATCGACTGATAAAATGTTTTCACCCGCTTGATAAGGTTGGGCCAAGTAATTTTCTTCAATTTTCTTAAACATATCAGAAGAGGGAAAAGCTGGTAAAAGTTGAGCGTCCGAGTTTGCACAATCAACGAAACGTTGCAAACTTTTCATTATTTCTGCAATACATTTTCCGTCACCAAGACGTTTTAAAAGTTCAAAAGTAATTGGTAAAACTGGCCTTATGCATCTACTTTGTTTTAAAGCGTCTCTTAAACCTTCAAATAATGGTTCGTAGGATACAAAATGTTCTTTTGATTCATAAAGGAGACAAAGTATTTCCTTTTCAATATCTTTTGTTTGTAACTGTTCAGCTACATCACTTGTTATCGCGATTAATTGCTCTTCGACTGCATTAAGTCTTAACTTTAAGGATTCTACTTGCTTGTTCTTACGGGGAGAATTGTCATATTTGCAGTGTTGGGGATCGCAGTTGCTACAGGGTTTACCAGTTTCGGCATCACCATCACATTTTATCTTCCCTTGTCGACAACGTTGGCATGCCCTTTTATTAATAGGACCACGAGTTCGCTTCGCTAATACGTTTGCGCTGTTGTTGTTATTATTTGATGATTGATTTACGTATCGAGGTTGACCTGGTCTTGTTGCAGTCATTGTTAATAAGTTTTTATTTAACAGACGTTTTGAATTCTAATGTTTAAAATGTTTAAATGAAGACGACAGTTTTCTTTGTAAATAAAAACGAAAAAAAATAAAGCTTGATTGAAAAGTTTTTTTTTTTTTTTTTTTAGGATAAAATTAAAACCTATTATCACAATCACAAATTTTTGTTTTAAAATTTTTTATCACTTATCACATATCACTGTATCGCAACTACCTGGTCACAAAATTTTTCAAATTTTGATATTTTTGGAAATATGAATTAAAAAAAAAATCGAATGTTGAAAGAAGAGAAAACGAAAATTTTTAAAATATATTAGAATATAAAATAACTAATTTTTTTTTTTTACTTGACTTTTTTTTACTTTCATTAGTAATCATTAAAAAAAAAAATTCTAAAGAATTCTGTTTCATTCTTTTCTTACGAATTCCCTTACGAAATTTTTTTTTTATTTTATGCCAAAGGGAACAAACGAAATGAACATATTCCAGCCTAATCTTTAGAAAGTCAGATTTTCTAAATAAATCTAATTAAATAATCTATCTTTCTCCAGTTTTTTTTTTCGTACATAAAAAAAATTTGGTACAAATCATTAAAAATCCAATCAAATTTTACTTGAATCAAAATTTTTTTTTTTTTCTTTGCCATTTTCTATTTATAGAAACATAACACATTAATTTTTTTTCCATGAAATTTAAGTTTTAATACTTTAAAAAGTCAATAATGAAAAGATTTTTTTTTTTTTTTTACATTTAGAACGTTTTCTACATCTATTTTTTTTTTTTTCTATTTATTTTTCTTTTTGTTTTTTTTACAACTTTTATTAATTTATTTAGAATATCGAAAAAAGAATTCTTCATTACAAATCTCAATTATTATATATATCAGTCCAAAAGATTAAAAATTTTTGTGGCTTAAACTTTTTTAAAAACCAGAATCGGTTAGAAGGTCGATCTATTGAGAATGGTTTAGCATGGTACGAATAAAATTATTGCAGGAGTGGCGAAATGGCTGGGATGATCATAAATATATTAATTATATATATATATATATTTGAATAGGTGAAAATATGATAAATATACGTGATTAAATAATAATTGTCACCCTTAAACATATATTATTGTTACGCAAATCCTGAAACAAAATGAGAATTTAGGAAATCCCGTTTTCTTTTTTTTTATTTTAAAAAAAAAAATAAAAATAAAAAATAAAATAAAATAAAATAAAAAGGAATTAATAATATAATACCAAGAGAAATATTTTGATATTGTTTACAGCTAGGAAATAAGTTTTTTTTTTTTTTGCAATAAAAACAATTATTTAATCGAAAATTTCAAGGCACGGTAAAGTACATTATTTGTTCAATGGATATATATGATAATGTACATATTAATCTATTAATCAATAAATAATAATTCAATGTTTCAATATTTTAAATGTTTCCCCGAAATTGAAAGTGAAAATTTCATATTACCATAGGATAATCTACGATCTCGTGAATACAAATCCCAGGTATATTTTGAATTGGATACATGGGATTACAACCAACCCATACAAACCCGAAGGAAATCTTAATTTATCTCTTGGTAACACCAACTAACCAATAATGTAAATTAAGGATTTTAAAGTAGTATTGTTCATTATGTAACTTGTATTAAAAAATAAAAATAATAATAATAATGTGTGACTCATAATTATAATTATATTATCATTTTCAATACGTTTTAAATATTTTTTTTTTTTTTAAAAAAAAAAACGTGGGATTCTGTGTAAATCTGCGTAATTTTATACCCAAATTATCCAAATTAGAACAATTTCCAGTTCTAGATTCTTTGACGATAAAGTTCTTGGCAGATCACAGGTGGGGTTATGTGGGTTATGTGGGTTACTGTTGGTTGGTTATAAATGTTAATTAATATGTGGCTATGTGAAATTATGTAGATTATGTTGATTAATGTGGTGGATAAATGGATTATGTTATTATGTATATTATGTATATTGAGTTGCGTGAGTTACGTTAGGTTACGTGAATTACGTTGGGTTACTTTTACGTTTGGTTACTTTTGTTACGTTGGGTTACGTTGGGTTACGTTGGGTTACGTGGGCTATGTTGAAGTAAATCGATTATTTCTTCCGTTGATGATGATGATGACATTTTTTTGATATTTTGGGTAATATAATGGAACATTATGCATTAGTTTTTTGGTCATGTGTATTTTCACCCGACAACTTTTTTTTTAAAAAAATTATTTGAAATTTATCCCATGACCCAAAGAAAATTATTTGGCCCATGACCAATTCATGATCATACCCTTTCTTATCTTTGATCATTGTTAAAATTGCTTATCATGATCCTAACCATACATCCGAAAAATTTTCATTATTTACCATATTTAATAATAAATGTAATAAATGTAATAATAATAAATGTATACGAAAAAAATATGTCTTTTTAAAAAATACATATTATCTTTTTTTGTGATATCAAAATATGTGATTTATGAATTATCAAAAAAAAAAAAAAATATATATCCATCCATTCGTTTAGATCTTTATTAAATCTTTATAACAAAGAATAACTTTTTTTGAAAGTTCAGTTTTAACTTGATTTAGTAAAAAAAAAAAAAAAATTTTTTTATACTTTTTTTTGAGCATTAAAAACGTTCATGCAATCCTTTTTTGCCAAAGGAAAATATATTATCAATATATTTTCTTTTTTTTATTTATTTATTTATTTATTTATTATTATTATTATTATTATTTTTTTTTTCTTTTTATTTCCTCTTTCAACAACTTTCAACATTTTCAACATTTTCGGCATTTTTTTTTTTAAAAAAGCATCTTTTGGTTAGATTAATTACTTTATATTCAAATAACTTATTATATTAATACTTTAATACTTTATACGAATAATATATTATTACGAATAAATTTATTATTATATGAATACTTAAATACTTTATTATAAATACTTTATTATATGAATACTTGAATACTTTATTATACGAAATACTTTTATATTTTATTATACGAATACTTTTATACTTTATTCAAAAATATTTTATTTTATTCAAAATATTTCTTTATTAAAAATACTTCTTTATTCAAATACTTTATTCAATAGTACTTTATTCAAATATCTTTTTTTCGTTCAAATCCGTTTTCGTAAAACGCACGACTTTTTTTTACAAAAACAGGTCTCGGTCCCTTCCCCCTCTAATATTTACCTCGATACCTTTCTCACCTATTTTCTCACCCCCAAAAAAAAAACTTCCAAAGTAAATTACGCCATTTAATTACAAAAATGAAAAAAAAAAATAGTCTACAAAGTCGAAATTTTCCTTTTTTGATTACAATTAAAATATAATTTTTTTTTACATATCATTTACATATGATAATATAATATTATTAAATAATATTAATAATGATAATAATATCTAATATTATTATTATTATTATTATAATAATGTGTTTATAATATATATATATATATGTATCTATTAGCC